TACTTGCGCGCCATCTTCGGCAGCTATCTCGCCTCGAGGTTCGTCTACCAGTTTGGCAGCCAGCCTAGCCAGTTTGCTTTCTACGACTTGTAAGTTTTCCAGCGCCCTTCAATCCATTGAACATGATTCTAACCTTCTACTTAGCATGGCCAAGCGTATGGCGAGCGTCAAGCAGTAATCTTTTTTTCGAGTGTTTTTCAATCAGGCGTGTTTCTGTTTTCCCTGCATGATAATGGGTATTGGAGAATTGGATAAGTGATTTCGTGCTTCCTGGCATATACACGCATGGGTGGTGCGAAAGAAAAGACAGAGAGAAAAAGGAACATCATGACACGGCAGTAAAAAATTGAGCAAAGGACCATAGTCCACGCTTAGATGGTGGATGAATTGCATACTAATAGGAGTTATCGGGCATGGTTATCAGATGGTTTGAACCTGATGGTCGAGAAGATCACAGCAGTTATTCAATGAGACTTTTTAACCTCAGTTTGGTGTTTTCTCCTTATCTTGATCCTCATGAATTCACTTTTCAGGCCCAGCTTGCATATGTTTGAGCTTTCCATCCTACATCCCTGCATCCACGGCACTACTGCTTGTAGGGGCGCGAGTTAATATCGTGAAGCCGCCTTTCGGTAGACGTGATGTGGGTTCGATCGGCCTCACAAATTTGCCGATGATTGATGGCATGTTTTCCCGTACGGGATGGTAGTCTACGGAAGACCTTGGAAACCTTGTAACCTACAGAGGGCCAGGATTGAGTTCTATCCTACCACAAGAATCAATACCTAGCCATAACGGATCCGGAACGAAGAGAGCAGAGGACAGATATAAGCTCTGACGTCCACAGCTGAAGAGATGAACGTAGAAACACGGAAGCGAAGCAGGGCATGTTGTTGATTAAAGGATTGGAAGGACATGCGGATCTACGTCCACGCCCTCTCTCTCACGCCTACCTTGTAGCATAACCTTGCCCCCCCCCCCCCTCCCCTTCCCCCAGTCAGTCTTCCGTACCACACTACCGAACTCAGTGTGGTGTATCCAAACTGTCGGGACGGCCCCTATGACCACTCGGTCCGCTCCGAAGGGGGGAGGGGGGAGGGGGGAAGAGCTTCTTGGGATGGGTAGGATAGGCGGGCTGTAAGTGCTGGGGACTGAAAAACTGAGATAGGGCGAGACTGGAAGGCGTGGGGGGTTCATTGCCATATAGGTACACACCCTTTTACCTTTGTCCCCCCCCCCCCCCCCCCCCCCCCCCCCCCCCCCCCCCCCGCCCCCCCCCCGCCCTGGGACGGAGAGGGTGTGGGGGGGTTGTCCGTCGGCGGCGGGGGCGCCGGGCGCTGCGTGGGGGTGACGTCGGTAGCACCCCCTTTTTCTCCTTCCCCCCCCCCCCCCCCCCCCACGGCCTGCGCGGATCCCCGGAGATCTTTCAATGAGAGAGAGAGAGGTTTTCGGCGCTTTGCTCCGATGCGGGCGGAGCCGATCCGGCTTGAGATCCGAGAACTCGGCAACATGTTTTTTTTTTCTTTTCCTTTCTCTCCTATCAGATGAATATCTGGTCATGAACGCGGTTGGACTGGGTGACGATGGTACAGGTACAGAGGGAGAAGCCTGGTCAATCCAAACTGTTTTGAATTTCTATGCCACTTGATATAAGTTTTCTAGCTTAGCTTCAGATCCCTGGATCGAGGCATATGCCCAAACATTGCAATTTTCTTTTTCCCCCTCATGAAGTCTAGATCCCTCCCATGACGACCTTGTACCTGATTAATATAGTTCCCACTTCTAAACAACCTTCAAACAAGATATACCGCGGGGGAGACGGGTAGGACGCAAGAAACGAGCGGGTGAGTCAAATACGTGGACGCAAGACTCTAGTGCGTCTCGGCCCACGCGCGGAACCATTCCAGGGCCTCGGGGTTAGCGACGCTGGCGTTGGTCTTGACGTCCATGCCGGAAAGGATCTGCTTGACGGCAACTTCGATCTTCTTCCCGTTCCCCGTCTTGGGGATCCCGCCGCCAGCCTCTTCAATAACACCAGGAACATGCCTGGGGCTCAACTCCCTCCGAATCACACTCTTAATCTTGCCCCTCAGCTCGTCGTCGAACGCGCGGCCCGCGACGGGAACGACGAACAGACACACCGTCTCGTCGGCGTCCGTGGCGCGCCGGCGCCCGACGCAGACGGCATCCTCCACCTCGGCGGCGAAGAAGCGCGTGAGGATGTTGTAAATCTCCGCGGACCCGAACCGCACGCCCGCGGGCTTGAGGACGCCGTCGGAGCGACCGAGCATGACGAGCGAGCCCGTGGCCGGGTTGGGGATCTTGATGAAGTCGCCGTGGTGCCATACCGCGCCCTTTACGCCGCAGACGTCGGCGAAGCGCTCGAAATAGGCGGCTTTGTATTTGTTGTCGCCTCCGGTGCCGAAGAAGGTGAGGGGCTGGCAGGGGAAGGGGCGGATGCAGATGAGGTCGCCTGGGTGGGTTGGGTCCGGGAGGGGGTCGCCCGAGAGGGAGTCGACGGCGCGGATGGCCATGCCGAGGCCCGCGCACTGGATCTCGCCGACGCGGACGGGGAGGAGGGGGCAGGGGGCGCCGAAGAGGGAGATGATGTCTGTGCCGCCTGTGATGGAGGCGAGGTTGACTTTGGCGGGGAAGGCCTTGTAGACGAAGGAGAAGGTGGAAGGCGGAAGGGGGCTGGCGGTGGAGTAGATTGCCTCGAGGGCGGAGAGGTCGATGCCGGGCTCGTTTACGGGGTAGACTGCGTTGGCCTCGAGGGCGGTGAGGTAGGCGGCCGAGGTGCCGAAGTGGGTGACGCGAAGGTCGGAGAGGAGGCGGGGGAGGGAGAGGTGGCCGTGGGGTTTGAAGGGGGAGCCCGAGTAGAGGACGAGAGTGGCGCCGACGGCGAGGGCGGAGACGGACCAGTGCCACATCATCCACGAGGTTGTGGTGTAGTAGAGCATGCGGGACTTTGCGGTGAGGGAGCCGTGGAGGGCGTGTTCCTTCTTATGCTGGATGAGGGTGCCGAGGGCGGTGTGGACGATGGCCTTTGGCAGGCCGGTGGTGCCGCTGGAGTAGAGGATGTAGAGAGGATGTGAAGGCGGAAGCTGCTCAAACTTGAGAGGCTCATCGGGAGAGCTTGGGTGAAGATGTTAGCAGGATGCAGTAAAGAGGCTTCTGGTGAGTTTTTCCAGGCGTTGATGATGACTGACCTTTGGAGGAACGACTCGTACTCATCAACTGCGACGCCTGTTGCTCTCAGGCCGTCAATGGCAAGGTCGCATGCAACATTGTTGATGACAATCACGAGCTCGAGGCCCTCAGGCATCAGGGCCTTGACGATCTCCTCCGTCTTGTCGGTACTGCTCCACTCCTTGCCGTTGTACACGGTGCCGTTGTCGGCGAAGAGGACCTTGGGCCCGATTTGCGCAAGACGGTCCAACACTGCGCTGACACCATTGTCGGGGCTAATACCAGTCCAGATGGCGCCTACAGAGGCAGCAGCGAGAGCGGCAATGATGGCCTGGACGTGGTTGGACACGAAGCCGGCAATAATGTCGTTGGGCTTAACGCCGTGAGCCCGGAGGCCGGCGGCGCATCGGCGGACGGCGTCTCGGAGCTCGGCCCATGTTGTGGAGACGGAGGGGCCGAGTTCGGTGGTGGTGATGGCTGCGACGGATGTGGGGTCGACAGCGACGTTGGCGGGGAAGAGCAGGTTCTCGGCAAAGTTGAGACGGGCTCCTGAGAAGAAGTCTGGACGCGGGTACATGGGCGCGTTGAGCGGCAGGACCTAAGGGCGTTGGCCCATCGGGCCGGATCAGCTATTGGTCTGGGAAAAGTGAGGTTGAGGTGTTCTTTGGAGGGGCAGCACGGGCGCCGGTATAGGAGGGGGAAGGCGTTGAGATGGGCAAATCGGCATTCCCATGGGCTAGACAATGGCTCATGGCATGACTCAATTGCTCGGGGATGATGGTCATGCAAAAGCTGTATGCCATGACCACATAGCTGTCCGCCTCACTCGAGGCAGTATCAAGGTTCTTGATGGGCGTCCTGACGAGGGTTCAAGACACTGGTGAGGACCATGGATGGCATTGGCGACTTTGATGGTGTCTCTCTCTGGCTGTTGCTCGCTGTCTCTGGCACTCGCGTAGAGTTTGAGCCCTTCCTCTCAGACTGATGTCACACAACCTCCTTCTCTTTTACCTTCTGCCTGCTATCTTTCAAGATTGGCAATAAGGCGCGCCAAGCATGAGCAGGGCAAATAGAGGATGAGGTTGAGTTGAGTTTGGGGTGAGTTGACGAATAGCATTGGTCCAGCGTACCTTGTCGAACGGCTTAGAGGCGGTGATGCCCACAGAATGCCAGACCTCCTCCCAGAACTCTGCCACGTTTTCGACGGACCACTTGTACAGACCGGGGTAGTCTGCCAGTTCGAGTCCATACTTTTGATTCACCCGGAGAAGAAACGCCCACATGGGAGTCGAGGTGGGGTCCGGGTGCCGCCAGAGCTCGTTGCGCGTGACACTGGTGATGGTCATGCTGGGCGGATTGGATGAATTGGAGGGAATTGAGACGATGAGAGACGGAAGAGGCAGTCGGTGCTCTCAAAATGGGACCTAGATGTTGGGTATCACGGCGACGATGGTGGTCAAGTTAAAAAGGGGGAAGAAAATGTTTTCGAAAATTGTGTGCAGCACCGCGCCAAAGTGAGAGTCGAGAGATTCCGGCCGGAGTGGAGGGAGAAGAGTTGGGCCGTCGCAATCCGAGGATGCAGTTCCGCAGGAAGATTCCGAAAAAGGGTTGAGGACGCAGTACCAGAACAATCTGCTGGACCGGAGTCCGGGGGTGGGGGTGGAATCTGCTGCACCGCACATCGGCGAGGGAGGGCAAGCAGCTCATCGTCAGCTTAGTCTGCTTGGTCCAATTTCCACATCAACTCTTCTTTTCTCAGATACTGTGTGTGGCCAGCTGACTGTGCTTCCGTTTCGCATTGGAGCTCGGTCATGGCTCGTTGCTCGCCTGTTCTTGTCTTCGGAGAACCTTTGACGAACCTCGACATCTCAAACATCGCAGTTCATGGACGCTCTGCTGAGAACGAGGACCGTGGTGAACTGTGCTCTGCCTTAGCTAAGGTACCCGTGGATCATGGACAGTAGTCGTGCTGTTTGACGCTGTACCTGCATCTGGTAAAAAAAGACTGGTACGACAGGCGAGCCTGTAGTGTACGGAGTAAGCTCTAGAACTAACAACACAGCACTTGCAGACGCTCCCCAGAGTCCAGCTCATCGAGGCACATGAGGCTATGCAGGGCACACCTTGGCAAGGACCTTCACGGCTTCAGGCACTTGAGCGAGGCGTTCATGGCATTGGGAACCCAGAGACTCGCCCATTCCGCTCTGTGGCTGGTGCACCAATGCGCCCCCCTCCTCTACCCTCCCCTTCGATGCGTCTCGTTGGACTCGATCAGTGTTGCGCTATCGCTGTCGCTTCATATCGATAACGTTGTCCAAGCGGACTGGGAAGACGTCTCAGAACGGGACCCAATGCTGGGGTGAAGCCTGCAAGTCGACGGGCCTCAATCAAAGATGGTGCAGTGACAGCTCACACAATTCCACAATCCCACAGTTGAGGATCTTGTTACACGGGTAAACAAGCACTGCAGACGGGAGATTGTGTGAAATGTCATTGGCCGCACCCAAGATTCCTAGTATCATAATCTGGCGAAACCACAACACGCGATTCGGTCATCGAAGAGATCGAGATGGCCAACTAATGTCACCAAGGCCTCGGGAGACTAGCCGATATGCCGTACATTGCAGGTGGGTCGATGACTGCCATTGAAGATTGAAGGGTCGCGGAGAATACAAACGTGTAACAAAGAAGCAACGGCATATCGTCAAGCCGTTGATGGAAATTCGAGTCTCGAATTAAATGACCATTCGTGCTGTCCCATTTCGAGCTCGTGTTACCCAACGTTGTGTCCCAAGTCAACGGTCAAAAAAGCGAGACATGCGCTGCGCCTCTGGTTCGTTCGACCCATTGCCAACTGGCCATCCGAGCGCCTTGGTTGCTTTTCTCTCTCTTTGCCTTCTGCAACGTCTTGCTTCCATCGCCAAAGTCGAGGGCGCCCTGTGCACGCAGAATATGGTTATGCGATGGGACCTCACGTAGAAACTGTTCAGCCAAGTGAGTGCCTTGATTTGCTGGGGTCAAGTCACTTGTTGAACCGTCGGTGAAGCCGACTGGCAGGGCAAACGATGCTCCATTATGTCCAAGGCACTAGTGGACGAGGGTATTGACAACAGCATTGAGTTGGGCAGAGATGGGCCAAATAGCTGTATGCATTGTGTCGAATGCATTGCCGGAAAGACACGTCCAACGCAACTATTTTGGTGATAACGTCACTTTGACCCTTCCAGACAAGTCATCGGACGGCGTAAGGTGAGGAGGAGGGCTGTCGACAAGTATGGGAACAAGGGGGTTCCATGGTGAAGTGCTTCGCTGGCTTAGCAAGGCTGGCAGGCGACTCAACTTGGAACCATGGATAGGGCGGCGGGAGGTGAAGGTGAATTCTGACTGTTTGGCCAAAGGCGGGCCGTTGGACGATGAATTGTGCGACGACAGGGTCCTGTAGTGGTAGCAATAGCCGGGGGAGAACAGGTTAACGGCACTGGCGGGAACTTGGAAGCTCTTTAGCTCAGCTCTTCCCGTCATGCACAGCAGAGCTTGGGACGTGGAGCAGTGAAAGCCTCGCGGGATCTGCGTAGGCTGGACTAGTGCAGGATACCGAGGGTCGCATTTTGATGACATGGTCGGGTAGACGAAGAAGCGGATGACTATGCCTCGAAGCAATGCCAATGCTCAATGGCGGCATGGCTTGATGCTAGAGCGGTTGCGAACTCCAGAGCATCCGAGAGCGAAGGCGGGTGAGGGAATCTTGGTCCTTGGAAGAGGGACGGCGACTGCAAAGAAAGAATTGTCCGATCATCAGTCATCGAGAGTCCGGTGCGTCCGTCTCGGCCGTGTCGTCCGGGCAGCCTGTCAGGCTTCGATTCGCCCCTCCCCCTTTTCCCGCGCGTGATCTGATGGTTGCTTCCTGCTTCCTGCTTGGTGCCAATGGTTGACTGGATGGGTGCCGAGTTGAGTAACGCGCCGGGGCCAGACGGGATTTGCCCAACAGCCGATATCACATTGGGTGGGTGGATATGGTAGTGGATCAAAGATGCAGCAAACGTGGTTCGGCCAGAGCAAGGCAAGCCGCAAGCCGCAAACCGTAAAATGAGTTGAGTTGTTAGTCGCGAAGACTGGCCGGAACATAGCAGACAAGGTTGTGGATATCAGGTAGGGAGGGTACGGAGTATTCGTTGTGTCGTTGCTTGTGGAAGGGCCCGCAGAGGGGGTCTGACACTTGGACATTGAGTGAAAATCCAAGAATAAGGATGATTAGGAGCCAAAAGTTGTAAGCCTCGCTTGACTGTCAGAGGCAAGCAGCATAGTAGGCATTAGCGGTTGGGCTAGGGGGCCAAATGCTGGTGTGTGTGATACCTATGTGCGTGTTCAAGAGAGCGATCATCGTGAGTCTAACAGTAGGAATTCTAGGCGAGGTACGGATAGAGAGACAGGCCAATTGGAGGCAAGACAAGAACGAAAGAAAGGACCGTGCAATAGAAAGACGAACAGCGGGCAACCCGGACGTGTCGGAAGGCCAGGGGTGAGAGGCGGGAAGAAAGACAAGAAAAAAAAGACTCGTCGAGGTGTGCGAGAATGAGACCTGGGAGTCGATCCTCGAAATTGAAATGATACGCGCTAACGGGGAAGAGAGGAAGAAAAGTCACTCGCATCGCGGCTTCCACATGAGTTGCGCGGTGGGCAGAGAGCCCCATTAATCATCACAACGGGATGGGGGGGAAGATACTTTGAGGCTGCACCTTATTATGTGCATTCCAAAAGTACCTTTTTGATAACATGCTGTCGTACTAGGGTCATACAACCTGGAAGGCACGGATGCTACACAGTAAGGTACAGCCCGTCCACGCGGTAATTTTCCTCACCGTCGTGGATCTCCTCTGCATTATCCGTATTGTGTTTTTTTCTTCTTCCTTCCTCGTCAGGGTCATTGCCTTTATTTCCCAACTTGTGCCCTCTTTCCTTTTCAGACTTCTTCTCTTCCTTCTTCCTCTTCCCCTTCCTTCCTCTCCAAGCTCACATCATCCTGTGGTTCCTTCCTTTCATTCCCCGTCCTAACCTTCCCTTGGACTCTGGAGCTGCCTTCCCGAACAGCCCGACAGCAGACCAATCGCAGGCCTGCATCGATCGAGAAGAGAGGTCCAGACACCACTTCGACGCCATAGGTACCTCGTCACCTGCTTTTCGCCGTTGGGATACTTAGGCCACCAAGTAAGGTACCTTTCCAGGTTGCCTGTCTCGACTCTCAACACACTCGAAAAAAGTCACCTCACTTTCAAGGTCCTTACCTCATCACTGCGTCTACGTACTCCGTACCTTACGAAGTACCTTAGCTCATCGCTCATCAACGCGCCTCACCTCAGTGCAACAGCTGCAGCACCCACCCGCACCAATTTTACCTAAAATCACGGTCCAATCCCATCGCGCGACAAGCCGAAATCGACAATTTGCCTTTTCCTCTTTCGCTCCCGCCATCTCCAACAAATCTCCCTCCATCCTCCCGAGTTTCCATCCTCCTCAGCACTCACTCCTTGCAGTTGCAGCCCCTTGCAGCTGTTACAAATTCTGCGAGACTTGCTCGGTTCACCACCTTTTGCCGTCTGCATCTTCTGTTTCTCAACGGGAAACCCCATTCTTCAGATTTGCACCAAACCTGGAACTCTCGCCCTGAGCCACTACAGAGCCACGACCTCTTAATTGCATCCTCGTTGCTCTCTCGCGCCCCCCTAACCCCCTTTTCGCTTTCGCCTCCTCAACTTCTTGCTTTCTCACAACTTGATCAATCGCAAAAGCAAAAGAAGTCGCCAAAGAGAAAAAAAAAGATTTCCTCGGACCTACACGACTGTATCTCCAACCTCCAACTTTCGGCCACTTGAGCACCAGCTGCTTAAAGCCTTTCTTGGTGAGTGCTTGACCGTTAATTCATCATCATCATCATCATCATCACCTTTCCTCCAAAAACAACCCAATCCGAGGACTCCGGCGCCTCGATAGCCTCTGTGGCTCCCCCAAGCGTCTTGTTAGCGCTTCATCTGTGTCTTGTTTCGTGCTTCCATCAAACCGCCGCAAGAAGTCGGAGGTGAGCCCTTGGCTATTCGCACTTCTAGCGCGCTCATCTTAGTGGTCGCCTACTCTGTGCCTGCGACCGCGGGTGCGCCACTGACACTCTGACCGACAATTTCCCTAATTCTCAAACCACCAACCATTTTTGTTATCTCTTCCACAACATCCGGGCCTCCCGTCAGACTTGCATTTCGTGCTGACCGATCGTCTTTCTTCTTCACAGCGCATCAATTCTCGGTTTCGTCAAGGAAAACAGCTTCGTCCTCGTTCTCTCCCTCAATTCGGTCTTTTCCTGCTCCATTGCAGACTTCGAATACCCCTATTCCAATCGCCACTGAGTCGACCATAGACAGCCACGCGCTTCTCAGCAATGCCCCGTAGAATTGCGAATCCCTTCTCCAACGCTCATTCACCCGCCATGCCGCTCTCCGAGAAGGAAAGGAGACCTTCTCGTTCCGGCAATCGCATCACCAACTTCTTTACCTCCCCCAAGGGCGCTAAGGATAAGGACCACCAGACTGCCCAGCAAGCTCTCCTCGCCATGCAGCAGCAAAACATCTCGTCCACCCAAATCACCCCTTCCACCATCTCCCTGCCTACAATTTCGCTCTCAACTGCCACCGCTGGCGAGCCCGACACCACTGACCCCCCTACAACCCTCTTTTCGCCTCCCTCAGCCGTCGAGACGGAGAAGAAGAGGCGCTTCGATGCTCAATTCGGTCCTCTCCTTCACCCTACCCACCGATACGTGAGCAAGTCCAACGATGGCAAGCCCTTGGACCCGCCCATCATCGATGAGCCGCCCTACTACTACATCCTCACTACCTACATCAGCTACCTGCTTCTCATTCTCTTCGGCCACGCCCGCGATTTTTTTGGCAAGCGCTTCGGCGACAAGAAGCATTACCAGGCTCTCAAGCCCCAAAATGGATACGCTCCCTTGAACGAGGACTTTGACAACTTTTACGTTCGTCGTCTGAAGATGCGCATTGACGACTGCTTCGCACGACCCATCACCGGCGTTCCCGGCCGCTACATTACCCTCATGGATCGCGAGTCTAGAGACTACAACAGAACCTACAACTACACTGGCACACACACCGAGACATTGAACATGAGCTCCTACAACTACCTTGGTTTCGCGCAGTCGGAGGGCCCTTGTGCCGATGCTGTTGAGGAATGCGTCAAGAGATACTCTCTCAGCACTTGCAGCCCCCGCGCTGATGTCGGTACTTCGGACTTGGCTCTGGAGGTCGAGAAGGAAATCGCCAGCTTCGTCGGCAAGCCCGCTTCCATGGTCTTCTCCATGGGTTTCGTCACCAACGCTAGCTCGTTCCCCGCCCTCGTCTCCAAGGGTTGCCTCATTCTCTCTGACGAGCTCAACCACGCTTCCATCAGAGTCGGTGCTCGTCTCTCCGGTGCAGTCATCTCATCCTTCAAGCACAACGATGTCGTCGATCTCGAGCGCAAGCTTCGGGAGGCCATTTCTCAGGGTCAGCCCCGCACCCACCGCCCTTGGAAGAAGATCCTGGTTGCCGTCGAAGGTCTGTACTCTATGGAGGGCACCATGTGCGATCTCCCCGGTGTCATGGCATTGAAGGACAAGTACAAGTTCTACCTCTTCATCGATGAGGCCCACAGCATTGGCGCCGTCGGGCCTCGTGGCCGTGGTGTCTGCGACTACTACGGTATCGACCCCGCCCGTGTCGATATTCTCATGGGCACTCTTACCAAGTCTTTCGGTGCCAATGGTGGCTACGTCGCCGCTGACAAGAGCATCATCGACAAGCTCCGTAGCTCCAACGCCGCGACCACTCTTGGCGAGTCGCCTGCTCCTTCCGTCCTCATGCAAATTCTGGCCTCTCTCCGTTTGATCACCGGCGAGCTCTGCCCCGGCCAGGGGGCTGAGCGCCTGGAACGTATTGCCTTCAACTCTCGCTACCTACGTCTCGGTCTTAAGCGCCTCGGTCTCATCGTCTACGGTCACGATGATTCCCCCATTATCCCCGTCATGCTCTACAACCCCGGAAAGATGCCCGCCTTCAGTCACGCCATGCTCAAGCGCAAGATTTCCGTCGTTATTGTCGGCTACCCCGCAACGCCTCTTATTAGCTCGCGTGTCCGATTCTGCGTCTCTTCAGCCCACAACAAGGAGGATCTTGACAGACTCCTGGCTGCCGTTGACGAGGTTGCCGATCAACTTCAGATCAGATTCTCTACTGGTATTGCTGGCGGACAGGAGCCTCTTCCCGAAGGCATCACTCCCGAGACGGAAGCTGAGTGGCGCAAGGCGAACGGCACGGAGGGCATGTACAAGGCTCCCCGCTGGAAGCTCGAGGATGTCATCGCTCGTGGAGTTCAGGATGCCAAGATGCGCCTTCGGTAAAGCAAGAGTCATTCCAAATTTGGAGTTAGCAAAGAAAAGATTCACGACTGTTCGGACCTTTGGGTCTGGCCATTGACGAGACGCGGACTGGACGGAACGATGAGGCAACGTCTAGGGTGGAAGAGGGAGTTTGGTGCCCTGTGTTCAATTCTGCCGGCTTCGACCTGTTTGCATGATACCTGTGATATCAACTGTCGAGTATCTATTATACCTTGATTGGGGAGCCTGCATGGCCTTGGCGTTTTTGGGAGTAATGATCGGAACAGCGAACGAATTCATGTGCCACGGCACCGTACCAACATAACTAGTAGTATTAGGCTCTCAAGAGCTGAACAATATAGACGACAACTAAGGTACCTTAGAGTAATGCACATATCCTTCATTGGAGATTATATACAAACTTTGCAGTGCATGTGTACCCTTGCTGGTGATGTCGAGGGGATGCCTATCAGCCCCGTGGTTATATCCATATATTGGATGTCCAAGTGCTGAGTGCCCAAACACTGATAAGAGGACTCGGGTTAATGTTGAAGTCGTGGCAGCTGAAAACTCTCAACCCCACAGCCGTCGGCAGACCACACAATGGCCCGCTTGAAGAACAGTATGTATGATTGTACAGGTGAGACGGGAAGTAGGGAATGCGAATATACATAGAGAAAGGGCGGCGTATATTCCGGAAGACAGGCTCCACTATTGGAACGTAGGTAGGCATATGAGAAAACTGTTTTCGTCCTCCTAGCACCATCGGATGAGGAGACTTCTGGTGCAGTAGTTGCGACTGATCACTTTCAACCACACACAAAGGGACTCGACCCCCGGTGGCTTATTTTGTTTTGTTGAGCTCTGGGTCCGAGTCATCATACAAGTGTTTATAGTCTTTTTTTCCCAGTGTAAACAAGACCTATGGGTTATGCTTGATCTGAGGCTTCGAGATGGAGGTCCGCGATGGAATATCTGCAAGCAACCGAATATTAGACACTATCCATATTGCCATGTATGTGAATAGTTGGGTCTAGAAGAACAGCAAGAAGAAAGATCTACTCGAGTCAAGCCAGAAAGCCCCATATTGGGATTATATCCAGGGCAAGTGGCTTGGTGGGAATACAGCTTCAATCTCTGCATCTTCAAGAAGCGAGTGGGAGAATCCGTCTTTACGTATAGGATCAGGAATTATTCCAGGGGTTTCAGAAGGTTCGTTGGAGTGGGCAAGTTATATACACCTACGTCTACGCAATCGTAGTCCAGGTCTCATCAAACGGACTTCAGTCTCCCGAAAGCTGGCGCTCCGCAACATGATCTTGCAACACCGATGAAGCTCTCTACTTCTTGCGCAGTACAGCCGCTCTCTGACTGGTGGCAACGAGGATGAACAGCTCACGAGGACAACGGCCACTCATATAGCCGTCCGTCTCTAATACGGGAAGCGAGGACAACGTCAATTGACACCTTGAAAATCCGACAACTCCCTTCTTATGTCTCCGTACTCGGAACACCTGGTTCGATTTGTGCTCTGTATTTTACAGGTCGGCAACCGTTCGCCGTGCGTATACCTGGCAAACTGATCTACTTGTACCCCTCCCCCTGGGAAATCTGGATGAAGCATATTCCTCCCCTGATTTGCAAATCAGCCAAAAACCCCCTCCCAACTATCTTTCTCATCCAAGACAGAGAGCGAAGCCCCCTTCCCCCCAATTTCGGGTCCAATCGCCCTCCCGAGCGAAAAAAAAAACCCAATGGCCTTGAGAACAGCGCCGTAGCTCTCTACTTCACGAAGCCGAGAAGCCACTGCGAACTTCCGCCATGAACACGCAGCCTTAGCAATTTATTTGCCGCACCTACATGTCTCATGTTAGCTTCTTTACCCCCTTCAAAGAACACACCTAGTCGGGGGTGTATTTTTTTCCTCTCAAAACCTACTCAGTACGGGAGTTGCCGGTGGTCTGGCTGACGCACTCCGCGGGCCACTTGGAGCCGCCGTCGCACTTGGAAGGGCATCCGCCGGCGCCGAGGCCGCTGTCAATCACCTAATTGTCGAACCCCAAGTCAGTACGAGAGCCGAAGGTCACTACTCAAGACCATCGAGAGTAGGGGGCCGGGGGTTTGCGAACGTACACAGCAGTGGCTTCCATCCTTGTACTTGCACTGGTACCAACCGGCGCAGGCCTCGGTGGTGGCGAAAAAGGCCAGGAAGGCGACGGCGGCGGAGATGATGCGAACCATTTTGAAGAGGATTGGCTTGGGTCTTGGGGATGGTGATGAAGATGGATGCGGAAGTGAAGCTGGTGTTGTCTCTGTGCTGATGATTGTCTGAGGAAAGGGGAAGAGGCAGCTGTATTTATATTCGATCGAGACTCGCAGAAGATGGTCATATCCCCGCAAAGGTGCCCTCCTGTTCTCCTCAAAGTCGCCGGGTTGTTCGTCCACCGAGATCCTCGAATGGATGCATTCGCCTGCCCATTTCTGCGTTGGGATACCCTCAAACTTTGGGGTATGCGTGTTAGAGTGACCGGTAATGAAGAGATACGGAACTCAATCCTCCTGACTTGTGTCAGTGATGGAGTAAATTCCGGTGTCTTTTCGAGTCTATACTCCACATGACCTTTTTCAGCAAAAGCTCTACTCTCGTTGAAGGGTCCTAGTACATACAGTATACAGGTAAAGAGATATGTATATGCTAATATACACTATTAAAGGGCAATCACGTACAGAGACATTTGCAAAGGGTGGGATTTCTTGCGCACATAGTGCCTAAAGTGAGAAAGAAAAAAAAAACTTCACATGACTCCTTACGCAGTTATCGTGAAGAGGTTCTAGCCTCTGGGACGTCAGCTTGTCGGAGTCTCCGCGACCTGTGAATGAGGCTTAAGTCCGCGTCCGGGTCGGTGTAAGGAAAACCTAGCACATTACCTGAAGGCCTGTCACATTACTTGGAAAGACGGTGAGTATTGATGCTGAGTCAATGTAAATAGGCCTCCGTAGTGACTCCATCGTGAAGTCTTGGCGGATTACCAGGAGACGGGGCGGGTCGGTCGTAGGCGGCGAGGCTCCGGTGAATCTATGAGTAGTTGGGTCTGAAAGCGGTCCGCGAGGGCCCCGATAGCACGGGGTAACATAGTACAGAAGAGATCTACAATTTAGAGAGTGGAGTTTCCCTTGAGTCTGGAAGAAGTCTAAATTAGGTTGACTCGAGTGGGTTCACGATACTATCAAAGTACCCGGGGGCCTTGGTACTGCTTAACTCTCCGGTCAAGCTTTCCTCCTACAACGCCAATTTACAGTCAATATAATTAATCACTTCCTGATTGACGATCGTGGGGACTATTGCCACATTTGGATTGGCATGTTGTTCGGGGCAGGCAACGGGATTGATCATTCACCCTTCACAAACCTTCCTCGACAAGTCGAACAGAAATGGCCACCCCATCAACACCATCTCCCCCTTCAACCTCAACCCAAACCTTTTCCCCCTCAAACCTCGCCCCAACCCCGTCACGCCCACGATACACAGCCCTCCCGCCAACATCAACAACCACATCCCTCACCCTCACAGGAACACCAACAACGCCCCTGGTGCCCCTCGCAGCCCACACGACAATCCTGAACTGCACTCCCTCACCCGTCCCAAAATCCTCCCACTCAACCCGGATCCCCTCCCCCTCGGGCGTCGGCACAACACCCCTCGCCCACTTCAACCCGCTCACCTCAGGAATGACACTCCACGTCCGGAACCCAGGCCCCGTAGGCCTCACCCCGAGAACATACCCACTCATCAGCGGCACAACACCCGTAGACCACCCGTGCGCCATACTCGTGAACCCGTCCTCGTAAGGCCGTCCATCCGGCCCCCCGATCCCCTCCCAAAACGTCACGCCCGGATCCTGCCCCGCCATCCACCCGTACAACCTCCGCATCTCCTCCACGGCCGTCTCCCCGACCCCGGACGCGAACCGCGCCGCCATCTCAAAGTAGGAGATGAAGGCGTACACCCGCTGACTGAACCCCTGGCCCACAGCATCCGAGTCGTAAAATGCGTTCCCGTAGGTCCGCGACGCGGCGCCGGCGTAGTACGCCAGGATGCCCCTCGCCGTACTCGTGTCCACCACGCCGCCAGCGAGAATGGCGAGACTGTTCCCGTCCTGCGCGTGCGCCGCCACAAACTCCCCGGCTCCGTCCGTCCCGTCCCAGAACGCGCCCCTCGCCGTGTCAAAGTTGCGTCTGGCCAGCGTGGAGGCGACGTCGTCCGCCCTCGCTACCCACCGCTCTGCGTCCCCTTCCTTTTCTATCTCTGCCGCCATTTCCGCGGCCCGGCGTAGCGCGAGGACGTAGAGCGCGTTGTAGTACGTCACTGGCCCCTGTCTCGGCAGGAAAGCGTAGTCGCCGTAGCCCGAGGTACCATTCAGGCCCTTGGTCACGAGCCCGGTCTCCGGGTCCGTGACGGAGACGTACCATCCGTCTAGAACGGCGACGAGGTTGGCGTAGTAGGTTGAGATGTACTCCACGTCGCCCGTGTACCAGACGTAGTCGTGGCTGCAGACGACCCACCAGAGGGGGTAGTCGAACAAGGGAAGCGTGTAGTTCATACTTCACATCCCGTCCCAAGCATTAGTTTCCCAGGTGAAATGGCTTAAGCAGCGTCTAGTACAAAGAAGAAAAATGAAGGAGAGAAGATGGGAAAAAAGACTCACATGCTCGCCGGCGGAATCCACCCATCACCCCTCTGATGAACCGCCAAATCCACCAATACATTCCTACTCGCCTCGCTCAACATCCCATTCCCATGCGAAACATACCCCGTCAGCGCCGCGACCGCCAGGTCCCCGACGTACGGATCGCGATCGCGCTTCGGCGCGTCGTGCAGCACAATCTTCCCCTCGAGCGTCTCGCTCGCCGCGCCCCGGGGCTCCGCGTCCTCGGCGCCGCGGAACTCGTCGACGCAGAGGTCGTTGGTGTACACCCCGTCGAACCACCACCGCGTCAGCTCCTCGTCGCTGCACTCGAACCAGCCCCGAAAGGTATCGGGCGTGCCGTGGTAGGCCGAGAGCGCTAGGGACAGCGACGAGATATTGACCTGGCCTTGTGGGGTTGTGTGCGGCGCGTCGGAGGGGAGGGCGTCGAGGTAGATGCGGAGGTAGCGGAAGCCGTGGAGGCCGTCTGCGCAGACTTGGCCTTTGCCTTGTTCGTTGGTATACTGGCATCCGTGTTTCGCGGTCCAGGTGTAGTTGTCCTTGGCGACTGCGATTTGGTCGCTGCCGGGTGTGATTGTGTCGCCGTTGTAGGAGCGGGAGAAGTCGCTGACGTTGCTCAGGAACTGTAGTGTCTCGGAGAAGGCTAGTCTGATGCCGGGTCTGCTGCTGCTGTCCTCTTGGTCTTTTCTCTCATCGTTTTCGTGACCCACGGTTCCGGAAGTAGACGAGGACGACGACCCGGCAAAGGAAATTGAAATAATACCCACAGTATTCTGTCCAAAGTCGACCGTCACGGAGGGTGCCTCATCTCCCGCCGAGTCACGAGTAAAGACCGTGGGCCCGCCTTCGCCGTTGATTAATCCCGACGGATTAGCGACGTCGCCGCGCGTGAGGTCAGGAATCACCCGCGCCGGGTAAATCGTCCTGGACTCGCTCGCCCGGACATGTCGGTGCCAGCTGGGCACCTCCTCGCGGCGAATAGACTCATCACGAGGCGTGCTGCTGCCTCTCCAATGTGGGTTTATGACATCCCATTGGCCGGTTACGAATGCAAAGAGGCTTGTCCATAAATTCGGCATTACGGCTTCGTCATGAGTGGAGGAGCGAGTGTCAATGACGTAGGCTGCTTGATAATCTGTCCAATCGACTAGTGAATGGGCTTTCGAAACAGAAAAGAGAAATTAGAAAATGAATGAGCAACGTGCTTTGATGAATTTGATGGATGAGCAATAAGTTGAGTGAACATACGAGTCGAGGAGGACTAAGGTCGGCGCGGGTGGGAATGCGGAATGCGGGGTCCCGCCCGGCGCTTCCCCAGATCGGATGATCTACGAACGGCAGTTGGCTGTAGGTAGGCTGAATCCACAACCCCAGCCCATTGCGGACCGCGGCCAACGATAGGGACTCGCATCTTTACACTGAGCCAGTCTCAATTCCACCAAATCCATACTACGTACAGCACGGAATTATAGGTTCCTAATACGTGCTTCCGCAGCGTTAGATGGGAGTATTTGATCACATTCATCTTTGCACATGCCACATTGTCGTTTTCTTCAGTTGCAACAAGAATCCCTGGTAACTTCAAGACAGACAATCAAATGGTATTAGACAGCACTGCGTCTCAACTGTCTCTATCGCCTCAATGCCACACCAGCGGCGCGATGAATGACCCCAATGCAAAGTGTCCATGTCCATGCCACGACGCTCCGAGTGGGCATCGTGTCTCTAAACAAAAGGAAGAGAAGAAAAAACAAGGGTTTCGAGGTAGCTCAAGACACCCCTATGTGAAGACCTTGGTATGTCCACGCATCTCAAAAAGAAGTAACAACTGCGAAATGCATACGTGCGCGCAAAGTATCCATGGCGCTAAGGTTCATATCAGCGACCATGTTTCAATGTGTCGTCCATCAATCCATAAACCTTCTCAATCCCACCGCCTGTACCAGGACGCCGTCAAAAAGCCAAGAAAGGTAATTTTACACTTTCGCTGTCTGTTAAACATGATGATCGTAAAGAGGCCTTATACAGTGCCTCGAAGTCTTTGCTTGCGTGCCAGCCAGTCGCCAAGCATGTTGTCAAGTTGCTATACAAATGTCAGTCCGAAAGCTCATGGAACTCCTTGTGTATCTCGACTTACTGTTGTAATTTCCGCCAACTTGGCATTCTGTTCGCGGAACAAAGAGCCTGCGACGGGGTGTTCCGGTCCAGCAGGCGCCACCTCGCTCTTGTCGTAAACAACGACCAGCATATCTCGGATATCCGAGCTCGAATCGAAAAATGCCCGAAGCTTCGCATCATTCCAGCTGCTACCGGTAGTGCTGCCACCCGTGGATGTTGAGCTGGCAGTCATCGAATCTTGAGCGCGATGTCTGCCTGCCTCCTCAGCGTCAATGAGCTCTGGCGATGGTGACGTCGAGTGGCCTTCTTGACTGGATGTATCCACCATGAGCGCAGGAGGGTTATGCGAAGTGACCGGCGACACTTGCACGGGAGATTCGGAAAGTCTATCCTTTTCGCGTTCAACAGCGGTAGGCTGAGGCTGAGGCTGTTGAGATTGCGTAGGAGTAATTGTCTTGTCCGTCTGAGCGCTGGCAGCACTCAAGTTGCTCATGTAGCTGTCAGGGAAGGCGCCAGGCAAAGGCCGTTCCAATTTCTCTTCCTTGACAATCTGATGTGCCTGCTGCTGCACAGGTGGCTCGGCAGACTCAACCTCCTCCCCGGAAGAGTCAAAGTCATCAAGTTCAACTCGAGACTTCGCCTTGGTGACCTTTTGCGGCTTCGGTTCACTATTGCCACTCCTCGACGGGATGATCTTGGATAGGGTCGACTTTTCTTGGGGCGGTGATCGAGTCGTCTCTGGAGACTTGATCCGCTGCTGTTGAATAGAGAGTTCTGGATCCGAAGAATCATCCTCCACAATGCGCATAGAAGCGGGAGGTACGTTCGAGACGTTGTTAGGGCGGCCCTCGGAGGAAATGAATTCTGAAAGCTCCCTGGTAGCAGACTTTTGCGGCGTTGCCGCCCCATTGAGTCTCGCAGGAGACGGCTCGACTCTCGGCTGTTGCTTCTGGAGCTTGCTTGTGCTCCGTTGGGGGCCATCGCCTCTCGGGGACAACGGTTCCTTCGGCTCCTCTTCCCGACTCTCACGGCTTTCGCGACTCTCTCGGTCCTGAGATTCTGTAACGATATCCATCGATCTCTTGCCAAAAGACTCATCGTCGTCGTCCGCGGTCTTCTTCTTGTCCTTACGCGAGAAAAAACTCCGAATGGTGCTCGTCTTCTTCTCCTTCTCCTTCTTGTCCTTCTTCTTCTTGTCCTCCTTCTTATCCGGCTGCAGCTCCTTGTCCATCTTGTCCAAACTTGGCCGTTGCTTGACCTGGACGCTTTCCGTTGTCGAGGGTCGCGACCCGCTGTCGTCACGAAGCAAGTTAGGCGTAAGCGTGATCTTCTTGGTCTCGACCGTTTCGTCCTTAAAGAAAGAGTCGGTGTTCCTGACGGTGCCGTTCCTCGACCTACTGGGACCTTCTGGTTTTTCGAAGATTTCGCCGCTGTCACGTTTCGAGTCATCCTCGGGTGCCTCCTCCTTCTTCGTCGGTTCCGCAACGTTGACCTCCTTCGTTGTCGCCCTTGGCTTGAGGGGCTCCACCTTGGCCGTATCGTCATCCATCGTTTCCTCTGTTGCCTGTTGCGACGTTTGTTGTTGCTGCTGCTGCTGCTGTTGCTGCTGCTGTTGAGCACCCTGTTGTTGAGAGAACAGCTCGTCGACCTCGTCCTCGTCCGAGGAGTAATCATAGTCAGAGTAATCGACGAAAGTCGGGGCGGCGAACGCGACCGTCTTCTTCTTCTTCCTAAGAGCAGTCTTGAAGGTGCTCTTGGACTTTTCCCCAGACTGATCTCCGAGCATTGTAGCGGAAAGCTGATCTAAGTCAGAAAGGTTCATCTCTTCCATGGAGGGAGCGACTACGTCTATATTCCTGTGCTTGTTCAAGCGCGCCAATCTCTCGGTCGGCGTTTCAATGTGCTCTGCCGGCAGATAGCCTATTGTTCATGTAAGGAGCTGCTCTTTGAACAACGCTCAAAGGGTCCTTACCAATGCTGCTGTCCTTCACCACACGGACCAGCCACCAGTAGCTGTTGCTGTCATCCAGCAACACCATGGTGTCGCCCTTGGTGGCATTTGCTTGGCCCTCGACGGTTGCGACAAAGGTGTGCAACGCGTAGACGAATTCGAAATCGATGTCCTCTGGTTCGTGTAAGCACTCGTTGCCCCAGCCACAGGCAATAAACCTAGAATCATCAACAAGAGAAACATCGCCGTCATCATCATCTTCATCATCAATAGAGGGTTCGTATGGGATCGTAAGCGGGATGCCGTCATCGTCAAGTCCACCAACTGCCTCGTCTCTTTCTGCCCTCTCCATCTCGGCACGCCGCTGCGCAAAGTCGTCGTACACCGGTTCTCCAGTTTTCCGCACGCGAAGCGGACGAACCACAATGGGTCCATGCTGTGCAACACTCTGCAAGTCAAACTTGGCTGCATGATTGCTGCTGTTTTCCTCCTGCCAGTCAAGCCCGTCGTTGCATTCATCGCTGTTTTGTTCGTCGTCATAATATTCGTCGGTATACTGTTCCCCGTCGAATCGGTCGTCGTCGTCGTCGGTCGTATTGCGATCCTATTCGGGATACTCACCGCGAAGATGATGATGATGGGTTGATGTCTTGACAGATGCCTTGCTATGCTGCCAAGAGAGGTGCGCTGGGAGGTATTCAAGGGATTCGGTATAAGGAGAAGAGGACCTTGCCTCGCTGAAGGAAGGGGAAACGGGGGAGGCGTGATCTCGCATGGCGGGTAGAGAGTCGACTCTACGCGGCCATGATTGCGGAGGCATAATCGAAGTGTACCCACCATCTTCAATCGAGGGCGAACTCGAAATCTTGTCCATCATGTCGTCGTCGTCCATGCTCTCGTCGGTGTCGTCCATGTTCCCGTCGTCCGAGACACCTCCATTTTGTGCGACAGCCAGCGCATCTTGCTGTTGTTTTTTGCTTGCGTCGTCCATTGTGCTCCCAGTCAGCTTCCTCGAGACCTCTCCCGCGAGATCGTCTTCGTCGGAGATGTCGTCGTCGTCGGCGTTGGTCCAAGATAGCCTCGGGCTGCGCGCTTGATCTTCGGCGGATTCCTGGGCGACTTCTCGAAGAGTCTCGGCCTGGTGCGGACCGAACGAGCCGTTGGGCGCCCTGCTGTGGTCTTTCGCTGAGGGTGCTTCCGGGTTTTGCAGATCGATGGTGTCTGTGAATGCGACAGAGGAGGCCAATGGTCAGCGTGACATGTCAAGCAAAGAAACAAAGCTGCCGAGTATATTCTTTTTCCTTCCTTCTTCCTCTTGCTCTGGCCAAAGGGGGGTGGGAGGAATTCTGTGAAATTGATCGTCCGCGGTTCCAGCCGTTAGACCAAGACGGGTTCAGGCTAGAGCTCAGACACAGAAAACCCAGAGCCGAGTAGGAAAGGGGGAGTTTTGTGTTTGGGGGGAGAAATTATGTGGTGCGACAGGAGGAATGGGCAGCAGGCGCAGGCGCGGTTGTTTGGGGGTCGCATAAACTTACCAGCGCGAATAATGTGAGGTCTCGTCATGTTGGATCAGGTCGTGGGCCAGCACAGCCAGCCGAGACGGTTGTGGGAAGGTTGTGGGAATTGTGATTTTGTGACGGGATTACTCGAGTCGTGAAGTGGTATGTTGTGGTGCGGCGTATGGATACACAGTTGAGTGTGCAGTGCAGACAAGAGGTCGTTCCGTTCACAGTTCCGTCTGGATTATTTTTCCTTTGCGCTTGACGAGCCAACCCCCTTTGGACCCGTCAGTTGGTACGTTGGAGAGACCCTGGTCGGCAGACGACGTATGGAGGACGGTTCGGAAGTGTATCATGGAGCGAGGGTGCCAAAAAAAAAGCTGGGGCGGTTGGCAATTGCCAAGAGAATGGGATGGGCGAAGCGTACGGAGTATGCGTAGCGTGGTCTGGCCTGGTGTGGTCTGGTCTGGAGAAGGGAGGTGGGAATTACTGACTGTGTGTGACAGTAGTA